TGTGGATGGAACTTGAAGGTATTATGCTAAGTGAAGTAAGTCAGGAAGAGAAAGATATTATATATTTTCATTCATATGTGGATCTGGAGAAACTTAACAGAAGACCATGGGGGAAAGGAAGGGGAAGAAAAACTAGATACCAACAGAGAGGGAGGGAGGCAAATGATAAAAGACTTTTGAATACAGAGAAGAAACTGAGGGTTGATGGGGAGTGGAGGAAAGGGAAAAATGGGTGATGGGCATTGAAGAGGGCACTGTTGGGATGAGCATAGGGTGTTGTCTCTAAGCCAATTTGACAATAAATTATATTTTAAAAAGAATGTTTATTCTTTTTAAATCATCATTCATTCACTATTCATCGAGGACCTGCCATGTGCCAGACATCTTTCTAGATTCTTGGGACATATCAGTGAGCAAATAGGTAGAGATAAATGTGATTCCAGAGCTTGCCTTCCGGATCCACCCTTCCATTGCTGGTTGGGCAAAATCACTTCACTTACAAATAATCATTAATTTAAATCATCCTACCATTAGCACCAAACAAAGTAGTAATAATTGGATACTGATTTTCATGTTCATGCTTTCAGCCTGAAAATCATCACTAATGAATAAAAATATCAGAATGAAAACCTGGAGAAACACACAAACTACCTGGAGAGACATTTAAATCAGAATTGGAATTACATTTAGAGATTATGCCTGTTGAACGCCTTCGCCTGGCAATTTGTAGCCATGTAGCAGTTACCTAAAGTAGAATGTTGAAAATTTCCCATGAATCACAAATGATAAATCCAAAGCACACCCTGAGTATGCGATGTTAAAGTATTTGTTTTGAAAGGACCCCAAAAGATTGTGTCCACATAGAGAGGTGGATATGCAATTGACTTCATATACCTGGGTGATCCGATTTGGGTTCTAGCTCTCTCAGTGGGTCACTTCCTGAACTTTGACAAGTCATTCTACGCTGTTATTGTTTGAAAAATGGTCTTTTTAGGAAAAAGCCACCTTGCAAGGGTCCGAGGCAATGGTCATAATCAATAGCCACAACTGTTAGGAGGAAGGATTTGAAATAATATCAGTCCCAATCACCGTTTCACTCCAACTGCGTTAGACACCCCAAACAAGAACCATCTAGGTGAACTCATTCAATAAACAAACTAGATTGTACAAAAATTTATGTGCAGGAAATATTTATTAAGAACCTACTATGTATCAGGATCGTACATTGATTAATAATACTATGAAAGTCCTTCGTCTCATGGAGCTCGGATGTTTATGGAGTGGCCTTAAAACAACAATAAGTAGTAGTATTAGTGCTAGTTGTAATAACAAAAGAATTACAATAGCAAAATACTAAATAAGCAAAATAATTATCTAATTTCATGTTATGAAAAATAACAAGGTGTTAAAATGGAACAAAATGGATAAAATTTTGCCGATTGATATACAAAAATTTATTGCTTGTATTATTTACCTGTGACAAAAATCCTATTTTTTTTTTTTTTTTTGTAAAGGTGACACACAGCATTAGCATTAGTGTTTTGTTTTTCTTTTTTTCCTTTGTTCCATTTTGCTTAGCTGGAACAGGGTAAGCAGAGCCAGGACACCAGAAGCAAAACCAAATAAGTCCACAAGGTGGCAGACTGGAATCCATGGCAAACAACTGAAGTGCAGGTACATATCACTTGTCTTGTATTTCAATTTTCCAGGCTTGGTATGAAAGTCAAAAGTTATTCTGGTTTACCCATACCTGCGTTGTGAAGGAAAAGAATCTCATAGCTGGCTGCCTACAAATCTGTGTGTTGGAAACAATGGCTTTTTTAAAAAATTAGGTTTGGTGCACCTGGGTGGCTCAGTTGGTTAAGCTGTGGACTTCCGCTCAGGTCATGATATCAAGGTTTGTGATTTTGAGCCCTCCCCTCCCATTGAGCTCACTCTGACAGCTCAGAGCCCGGAACCTACTTGGGATTCTGTGTTTCCCTCTCTCTCTCTCTCTCTCTGCCTACCCCCCCACTTGTGTTTTTTCTCTCTCTCTTTTTCTAAGAAAAAAAAAAGCTAGGTTAATGTATAAAGGATTTTTTAAAAGTTTTTTTCACTATAAGTGTTTTCCCATGAGACCTACTTTTTAACAGGTGTGGTGCCTAACAAGGAGTGCTATGGAATAAATAGGTAGGAAGGTCAAATGGAAGCAAACGACTTCAAATCCAAGCACATAGCATAGCAAATAAATAGAAGGAATCTCACTGGTTCGGTGTCAAGGTCCATCCACTACAAAATAAGTAGACTGTTACTGTGTCATTACTCAGGTTAGCCTACTATATCAAAATGAGGTGGGGACTTCTCTTTTCTTCCTTCCATTGTTCTATCTTGGTACTTGTCCAACACTAACCAGGAGAGCAGTGGAACCAACCTTATAAACGTAAAAGCAATGAATTAAAAGATAGCAAAGAAGAAATATAATTATATTTCTTTTTTTAAAAATATTTTTATTTATTTCTAGGAGAGAGAGAGAGAGAAAGAGAGACAGCTTGAGCAGGGGAGGGTCAGAGAGAGAGACGCAGACTCTGAAACAGGCTCCAGGCTCTGAGCTGGCAGTCAGCACAGAGCCCGACGCGGGGCTCGAACCCACGAACCGCGAGATCATGACCTAAGCGAAAGTCGGTCGCTTAACCGACTAAGCCAGCCAGGCCCCCCTAATTATATTTCTTTTTAAAAATTTTTTTAAATGTTTTATTTATTTTTGAGAGAGAGAGAGATAGAGACAGCGTGAACAGGAGAGGGTCAGAGAGATAAGGAGACAGGAGACACAGAATCCGAAGCAGGCTCCAGGCTCTGAGCTAGCTGTCAGCACAAAGCCCGATGCGGGGCTCGAACCCATGAACCGTGAGATCATGACCTAAGCCAATGTCGGATGCCCAACCGACTGAGCCACCCAGGCATCCCTAATTATATTTCAGAAGAGTAAAAAGAAATAAATTGTGAGAGAGAAGTTTGAGGAAAAATTCAGAAAGGAATTAATGTTTGAGTTAACTTCCACAACCACTAGGGTTCTTCTAGACAAAGAATGAACACGTTGTGTGCAAAGGGCATCTCACAGTTGTGGGACAACATGTAGAGGACTATGAAATCATAAAATGTCAGGAGGTGTCTGGAGAGGGGCAAGAAATCTGCACCTGGAGCGTATGGGCTGCCTAGAGGAAATGTAGATGGCAGATCTGGAAAGACACAGTATGTAATTCTTTTGAAATTTTTTGGAGTTGCAGTCGGTTTATTGTCAACAAACACTGACGCAAATACTGTAACCAAAATTTTCCTTAGATCTAATGTTTCTTAATCTGCCTAGAATACAGTGACACATGCCTTACCCAGGAACCTGCATCCTTACAGTTTCAGTCTCAGAGTTTATCTCTGGTACCGTCTGCTGGTAAGTCTATTTGATCATCTCATACGTCAATAGCAGAAGTCAGTGACAGAGCCTAAGTTCTGGAGTCAGTTTTATTGTAAAAGTTTCTATGGATGTGCACGTTCAGGGCACTTCATTTCAGATCTAACAGGTGTAGGAGAAGGAACAGGTCCATGTTTGGAGCGAATTCTGGTTTAACTGGATGGACTTAGTCTTATCCTCATTTGCTTTATTTTTTTTAAATTTTTAATGTTTTATTTATTTATTTTTGAGAGAGAGAGACAGAGTATGAGTGGGAGAGGGGACAGACACAGAGAGGGAGACACAAAATCTGAAGCAGGCTCTTGGCTCTGAGCTGTCAGCACAGAGCCCAATGTGGGGCTTGAACTCAGGAGCTGCAAGATCATGACCTGAGCTGAAGTTAGATGCTCAACCAACTATAATTGAACATCATTCCAAGAGATGGAAATGTATACTGTCATGTATGGAAACACTTTTTTCCCCCCAGATTTCTGTTCATTGCAGGTCACTTCCTCAAAGGTGCCAAACATTTCATAATCTCACTTTTATCATAGATGGTTGGTAATGATGCTTTAGTCTAGAATGTCTCCCTAATTTATTTCCTAAGTACCTGACACAAAATGAATTATACATTGGGATTTTGATATATTCAAAACTTTATATTAACAAGTATTATAAATCATCATGGAAAACAGAAATTGAAATATTTAGGTCATTATTATATGTACTTGAATTTATATAATTCAAATTGGCATTGGATGATCAAAGTAAGTAAATATGTATTTTTCAGAAATTTTGTTATAAACCTCCTTACAGAGTAAGTCCAGTATTATTATTGTTTGATCTGCATAGAAAATGTGGCATATTTTAAAAAAGTGAATGCTCCCAATATTTATCTGAATAAATAGTTCTCGTTTGTTGAAAAAATATCACTTACTTTCCACTAAACAATGAAAATTTTAATTACATATTTTCTACAGCTTGTGTGTGAGCCATTGAAAGAAAGGGATATAGAAGGAAAATAAAGAAGTAATGAGGAAATTAATTAAATTAAAGTAAGGAGGAACACTGAAATGGCGGGAAGACTTTAGGTCCCTTTCAAAGATCCTGTGGTCATGATATTCTGATATCAGAGTCAAGTGAATGGGCTTAAGTCAATGTTCTGCCATAATCCAGTTGTGAGATAACATGAAAAATCAGACTATGAAATATTCACAGGAATTTAGAAACCTTTTACTATAACTAGTCTAGAGGTGAGCTAAAGCATAGAGGGGATCATTGAAGTCCAGGTGTATAAGCCAGGACTGGAAATCATTCCTCTCAGCTAGTTTGGGCTTCTCTCCATGGAACATCACTGTATCTTAAAAGTATATTTGGTTTCCCCATGTATTTGTTTCCTCATTCGTATAATGAGTAGGTTAGACGTGAACTTCTGTAAGATTCACAATAGTTTTAGAACAATCGGTATTGATTCACTTGTGCTTCTAGATATACACTAGGCCAGTTTAACTGTATAGATAGTTAAAATTGCAGACACCTGTGCTGGAAAGTAAAGAAATCAAGAGGGGATGCATAGTCAAGAGCCTGAACATACTTTATTTCTGACAGGCTTTAGTTCCTTTTGGCAGATCCATTTATTGTCTGTGTCACAGTTCTCAGAAAAAATTCCGGTCTGTGAGATATAAACACAGCTGTTTTTTTCTGTATAACCAACAATACGGAATCTGTGGAGCAAAAGAAAAGTCTCATTTAGTGTTTGGGATTTTCTCACTTAATCCTTCTCCTCCAGCCAGTGTCTCCTACAACTTTAAGGCAACAATGGGACGCTAAATTATTAAGTATACAGCCAGTGTACAGTCACACGTCTAATGGTGTCAACTTTTCATGTAAAGCTAATGATACATCTCGGGACCTTGCCAGTTTATCTTCACTGGACAAGCATTCTCTAACAAGAAGCTTCAAAATAATATATACCAAAAAAACAACAACCACCCTTAGAAACTAGGGTTCTGTTCTTATTCTTATTCTGTCATTGACATACATGAAAAGTTTCTTACCTTTACTGAGCTTCAGTTTTTGTAAATAGACAGGACATGACCACCTGATATTTGGGGGAGGCACTGAGATGGCCCATGTGAATGTACACAGAGCCTCAAGTGTGTGCTCCGAAAACATATTAAGCATCCAACGGGTAATGGACATACAGGGCCTACAGAATTTGAATCAACTTAGAAAAGAGGGCTTAGTTTGTGTGGTATGTGACCAGGGCCAGAGGCTTCCATTTTCCCTCCTTCCAAACAGAGATTGGTAGGTGTCTGTTTCAAAATGCCATTGGTCCCAACAAGCATGAGACTTATGGCTCGCGGCCGGTGAGGGTGGGAATATTATCAACAATGGAACAGGCAGCACTAGGGTGAGGTGCCAGGTTGGAGTGAATTCAAGACTCTCTTATCCATTTCAAACAAAAGGACAGGTCCTGTCACAGCTTTTCTTTCTTCCTTCACTGTATTTCTCCATCCAGCCTTTTCAGCCTGAGCAGCCAATCGATTCCTTCCCTATGTCTGACACTCTAGTCAAATTATGAACTTCTCTCAACTGGGCTATTGCCAAAGTCCGCCATGTTTTATCTCTTCTACCCTTTTGTTTCCTTCTTCCGATTTACAAGATAACTTTTTAATGCTTAGATGGCCAAGTCAAAGACTTTCTTTCCAAAAGATCGTCAATGGCTTCCCAGACTTTTCTTAACCAGATTTCAGCCTGGTTCCCTAACCTTTTCTCATTTAATCCCTAAACAGTCCTGCAAAAAAAATTATTATCACCCTCTATTTTTTTTCTTTACCTGAAAGCCAGACTGACAGTTAAAATAAAAGCAGAATCTAATGAATACTTTATCTATTACAACCCCGTACCTTCCAGGTTTACCTGATAACTGTCATCTTTATTACATCATAATTTTTATTCCAGAGTAAATTAGAATGGTCAGCTGAATTTAATCCATCCATGTTACCTATATTTCTGTTCATGGACACTTCAGTGTTTTCCAACTTTATTATAAACTTTAGGAAAGTAAATGCACACATGCTAAATTTAACTACCCTAATTTGGTTGTCAAAAAATAAAAATAAGTTAATATTAAATTTTTATTTATATGTAAATAAAGTATAGAAAATAATACCCAGAAAACATGTAAAAAATGAAGTTAGATTTTTTTTGAATTTGTGCCGTGTGTGTGTGTGTGTGGCGTACATGTGGTATATATATGTGTTGAATAGGTGTAGTGAGTGTGTTTTGTGTGTGGTGTATGTGTGATGTGTGTTGGATGTGTGTGTGTGTTTAAATTTTTTTGATGTTTATTTATTATTGAGACACAGAGAAACAGAGCATGAGTAGGGGAGAGGCAGAGAGAGACACACACAGAATCCGAAGCAGGCTCCAGTCTCCAAGCTGTCTGTACAGAGCCCAACGCAGGGCTCGAACCTACGAACCATTAAGATCATGACCTGAGCTGAAGTCAGACACTTAACCGACTGAGCCACCCAGGTGCCCTGTGTGTGTGTTGTTTTTGGTGTGTTTTGCTGTGTATGTCTGTGGTGAATATGTGGTATGAGGACACATTTTATCTTCCAGAAAGAGCATGCTTGCCTTTTCATAAATTCATTCTACTCCAGAACACTTATATTTAAATTTTTTTTGAAAAATCACCTTTAAAAAACATTTTATGGGCAGAAGATATGAACAGACACTTCTCCAAAGAGGACATCCAGATGGCCAACAGACACATGAAACGATGCTCAGCATCCCTCCTCATCAGGGAAATACAAATCAAAACCACACTGAGATACCACCTCACGCCAGTCAGAGTGGCTAAAATGAGCAAATCAGAGAACTCTAGATGCTGGCGAGGATGTGGAGAAACAGGCACCCTCCTACACTGTTGGTGGGAATGTAAACTGGTGCAGCCCCTCTGGAAAACAGTGAGGAGGTTCCTCAGGAAACTAACACTAGAACTCCCCTATGACCCAGCAATAACACTGCTAGGAATTTACCCAAGAGATACAGAAATGCTGATGCATAGGAGCACATGTACCCCAATGTTCATAGCAGCACTCTCAACAATAGCTAAAACATGGAAAGAGCCTAAGTGTCCATCAGCGGACGAATGGATCAAGAAGATGTGGTTTATCTATACCATGGAATACTACATGGCAATGAGAAACAATGAAATCTGGCCATGTGTAGCAACATGGATGGACCTTGAGGGTGTTATGCTGAGCGAAATAAGTCAGGCAGAGAAGGACAAATATCATATGTTTGCACGTATAGGAGGATTAGGAGGAACTTAACTGAGGAACAAGGGGGAGAAGAAGGGCGGAAATGGTGGGGGAAAGGGAGAGAGGCAAACCATGAGAGACTCGTGAATGCTGACAAAAACTGAGGACTGATGGATGTGGGGGGGGAGGGGGGAGGGGCATGGAGGAGGGCACTTGTGGGGATGAGCACTGGGTGTTATGTGGAAACCAATTTGACAATAAACTATTTGTAAAAAAAAACATTTTAGAACATGTGTCAAATAATGTAAAAATTTGCTAATTAAGCCAACATAGTTTTCAATATTTAACACTTTTCCATATATGTTAACACTACAGTTTAGATAAACTTGGATATGGTCCTGTGTTTTAAATTTCATGTTTTTTCCTCATATTCCTCATGGTTTTGAATGATAAAAAATTTTAAATGTAACTTATACAAATTTGATTGAAGCCTTCACAGACTCAAAAAGTGCAACACAGAGGCACCTGGGCGGCTCAGTTGGTTAAGCGTCCGACTACAGCTCAGGTCATGATCTCACATCATGGGTTCGAGCCCTGCATCGGGCTCTGTGTTGACAGTTCAGAGCCTGAAGCCTGCTTTGCATCTGTCTCCCTCTCTTTGCCCTTCCCCCACTCATGCTCTGTGTCTCTCTCTCAAAAATAAAAAAACAGTAAAATTTTTTAAAAATAAAGCAACTCAGTATCATCCCTTCTGAAAAACTTATTGAAAGAAATTCTTTACCATTGAATACATGCTTTTGCTTCTGAAGGAAAAAAAATACTCTGCCTTTGTTGTACAATTAACCATTAATTCTGTTGAAGTATGTAATTGATTTGGGTAGGATCAACCCTCGTATTGAACTGATAATTTTCTTGACCATCTTACACAAAAAATTGTAACGAGACACCCAACAGAAAACTGCTAATAGATCCTTTGTGGCCTATGTCATATTCACTGCATTGCATCTCCTCAAATAATTGTCTCCTTTACACCACTTATTAAAATATACAGTTGAGGGGTGCGTGGGTGGCTCAATCAGTTAGGCTTCCAACTTTAGCTCAGGTCATGGTCTCACAGCTTGTAAGTTCAAGTCCCATGTCAGGGTCTCTGCAGTCAGCTCACAGCCTGGAGCCTTCTTCAGATCCTCTGTCCTCCTCTTTCTCTCTGTCCCTTCCCTGCTCACACACACACTCTCTCTTTCTCGTTCTCAAAAATGAATAAACCTGGGGTGCTGGGTGGCTCAGTTGGTTAAGCATCCGCCTTCACCTCAGGTCATGATCTCATGGTTTGTGGGTTTGAGCCCCTTGTCAGGCTCTGTGCTGACAGCTCACAGCCTGGAGCCTGTTTCAGATTGTGTCTCCCTCTCTCTCTGACCCTCCCCTACTCATGCTGTGTCTCTCTGTCTCAGAAAGCGATTTTTTAAAAACCCATTAAAATAAATAAATAAATACACTTAAAAAAATATATATACAGTGGACCTTTGAACATCATGGGTTTGAACTATACACATTCACTTCGCACAGTTTTTGATAATACCGTGTATTATTGTAAGAGTATTTTCTGTTTTTATCATTTTGTTAATACCATTTTATTTTCTCTAGCATATTGCAAGAATACAGTATAGAATAACTATAACATATAAAATATATGTTAACTGCTGTTTACATTATTGGTAAGGCTTCCCAGGCTGTCTGGGTTCCACACTCTTGATATTTACTTTTTCTTTTTTTCTTTTATATTCACTGTCCCAGTGCTGATTGTAACTCACCAAGGTATATTGTCCCACACTGAAAAACACAACTTAGATAATTCTACATGCTAAAAACCTCCAGCTAGAGATTGTTTAATGAGCCCTTCACCCTCCCCCCACCAAATTATCCTATTCCTTATTTCCTAAAACTCGGTTGCAGATAAAAATATATATTGCTATAAAGGCCTGTTGTCTTTTCACATATGGAACTTTCTTTTTTTTTTTTTAATTTTTTAAAAACGTTTTATTTATTTCTAGGAGAGAGAGAGAGAGACAGCGTGAGCAGGGGAGGGTCAGAAAGAGAGGGAGTCACAGACTCTGAAACAGGCTCCAGGCTCTGAGATGGCAGTCAGCACAGAGCCCGACGCGGGGCTCGAACCCACGAACCGCGAGATCATGACCTAAGCGAAAGTCGGACGCTCAACCGACTAAGCCACCCAGACGCCCCCACATATGGAACTTTCAACCAATCAACTTCAGAATCATTCATCTTCTTTTCTTTTTTTTAATGTTTATGAAAGAGAGAGAGATAGAACATGAGCAAGGGAGGGACAGAGACAGAGGGAGACATAGAATCGGAAGCAGGCTCCAGGCTCTGAGCTGTCAGCACAGAGCCCTACATGGGGCTCGAACCCACAGGCCATGAGATCATGACCTGAACTGAAGTCGGACACTTAATCGACTGAGCCACCCAGGTGCCCCAAATCATTCATCTTCTTAGTCTATTCTGAGCTTCTTGAAAACTTCTAAACCAAATTAAAACCACAAAACTCAATCTTTCATAGCAATATTTTACTATCTTGAAATATAAACCTGGTATAGTGTGAATATTCAAATTGGCTTATCCAATACTCACGCGGTTGGATTTAAAAATGAGCCATTTATCCACTGCCATTTAGTCTCAGATAATGTTAAATTTAATCCAATCCAAAATAGAAATTCTTTTTTATCTATCAGTCCTTGTACATGTTCCTATAAATAAAACAAATGGCCGAATATTGAATCTATATTATTTATTCATGGTTTGCATTTTTCTACTCATTCTCTAAAACTTAGTTCAAGTCTCACTTCATCTATGATGACTTTCCTAACTCCCCATCAGAGTTAATTATTCCTTCCTTGTGATATTACTCTCTATACTTATATTGTTGCATTCATCAAATTACATTCAATTATTTGCTTATATGTCTGTTTCTTCTCTCAGATTGTGAGCTTCTTGAAGCCAATGATAATAGTTGGGTATAAAAGAGTGCTAAGTTCTATTAAGGTATCTTATTTAATTATTTACCAATTCTTCTGCATCTTGAAGAAGCAGCAAACTGGATTCTTTTGTGGAACAGTCACCTAGACTGTAGTTCCAAGTGTTGGAAGCCTGAGAAAAAAACAAGCATTTTTCTTGGAATAGTAGCCATTGTTTTGAGCACTTTAACAGATCTGGTTTACCTGAAGTAAAGAGAAAGATGAAATAAAGAAATGTTATATTTCTATCCAGGCTCCACCCACCATAACTGATCACACACGCACAAGTCATTATAAATGTACAGAAGTCTCTGATTATCATGGTGAGAACAATAAATGAATTTACTATAATTTTGAGGTATTTGACCCTGTCCATTCTGGTATCAAGAATTGGAGGGGCACCTGGGTGGCTCAGTTGGTTAAGTGTCCTACTTCAGGTGAGGTCACGAGCTCACAGTTTCTGAGTTCGAGCCCTGCGTCGGGCTCTGTACAGACAGCTTCGAGGCTGGAGCCTGCTTTGGATTCTGTGTCTCCCTCTCTCTCTGCCCCTCCCACGCTCATGCTCTGTCTCTCTCTCTCTCAAAAATAAATAAACATTTTAAACAAATTTTAAAAATAGTAATTGGAAATCCATGACCAGTTGTATTGAGCATAAATGGAATCATAGATTATTTTAATAGGAAAAGACCATCAAAATCATTTAAGCAGCCACATCTTACTTTTTAAGGCACTGATAGAATAATTTAAGTTCACATAATCAGGTGGTGGTAAAGTCAAAACTATCGCTGAGTTTTCTTAAACTCATCAGTAGTGTTGACTCCACTACATATCCAACAATATCAAACTTGTCGAAAAAGGTTTTTACTTTAAACATCATGTAATCTGCAAAGCAAATGTAGTTTATTTCACTAAATTGATGACAAATACTATGAAAAATTTCTAATCGCCAAAGTATGTATTTGCTTACTTGGTGCAATCTATGGGGTAACATTTTCCAGAAGGATTTTCCAGGTTTCTTAACATTCTTATCTGGAAGAATGTGCACCATCCACAATCGTATCTACTACAGTCATTCAACAATATATCCTTTTTGTTTTTGATTTTTTTAATGCTTTATTTATTTTTGAGACACATAGAGACAGAGCATGAGCAAGGGAGGGTCAGAGAGAGAGGGAGGCACAGAATCTGAAGCAGGATCCAGGCCCTGAGACGTCAACGACAGAACCTGATGTGGGTCTCGAACCCACGAACTGTGAGATCATGACCTGAGCTGAAGTCGGACGCTTAGCCGACTGAGCCACCCAGGAGCCCCTCAACAATAGTGTCTTTATTTATGCACATGGCTTAGTGGAGCAAGATGAATCTCTTAATAATGAATATGAGAAATATTTAAAATTTTATTTTATATTTAAGTTTTACTAATTGAATCCAGACAAAAGTTAACTGTTTGACATATTCATTAAAATAATCAAATAGGGGCACCTGGGTGGCTTAGTCGGTTAAGCATCCGACTTTCGCTTAGGTCATGATCTTGCAGTTCGTGGGTTCGAGCCCCGCGTCGGGCTCTGTGCTGTCTGCCAGCTCAGAGCCTGGAGCCTGTTTCAGAGTCTGTGACTCCCTCTCTCTCTGACCCTCCCCTGCCCACTCTGTCTCTCTCTCTCTCTCCTAGAAATAAATAAAACATTAAAAAAATAATAATAATCAAATATTTCACTTAAATGCATATTTTACTTTTTAACTTGATATTTGCCTATAATTATTGAATATTCTAGCTGCAAATTCTGTGATTGGGTGGATGTTCCAAGTAAGTGATTCGAGATCATTTTCTTCAGGATACTTATTTTATTTCCTAGAAGAGTGGAAGTGTGACCCGGTGGTTAAGATCATAGGCTCTGAGGTCAGGGCACAGATATAGTTTACATTGTCACCTCTTATTAGGTGTATGACCTTAAGTGAGTTGCTTAACCATTCCGTTCCCTAGTTTTGTCAAACAGAAAATCAGAAAGCTCATACTACCTGAATGTGTGGGTTCTTAGCATCCTTTACAAATGTAATGTATGCTATCTGTCAAATATGAGCTATTATTTTTAGGAACTTCCAAGCTACAAGATTACCTGTTGTTTCATTCCTGTTCTCTTGAACTTCCTCACCACTTTCTTCTACTGATAAGTTTTGTCTTACGAGTATCACTAGTAAATAAGGAAAAACCATGAAGAAGATTAAATGCTGAATATGGCAAAATGGATATGCTATTATCACTTCAAGAAACTATATTATCTCAACAAACTTGAATGTGGCTAGAAGATAAAGGCAATAGTTATGTAGTAACAAAGGGTCTGGTTAGAACGCAGCATACATAAACAAACAAACAAGGAAAAATACCTCACAATGAACTTACACAGACATTGCTATCTGTTATTTACTCTTAAGGTTTTTGTACTCCTGACCAAGCTTTGTCATATCTGGATGAGTATAATTATACCTACCCCACGGGAGAGAGTGGTTAGTGCAATCTGGAATTTAATAGGTACTGAAGAGACTGTAAATAATGGGAAATTTACATTTTTCTTTGTTATTGTCATGTCTTTATTAGAATTGTGATCTAATTTTCAGTTCTGGGAGCCCATCTGAAATATCCCATGAAGATGATCAGAACAATTAGGAAGAGGGGCGCCTGGGTGGGTTAGTCGGTTGAGCGTCCGACTTTCGCTTGGGTCATGATCTCGCGGTTCGTGGGTTCGAGCCCCGCGTCGGGCTCTGTGCTGACTGCCAGCTCAGAGCCTGGAGCCTGTTTCAGTCTGTGACTCCCTCTCTCTCTGACCCTCCCCTGCTCACGCTGTCTCTCTCTCTCTCTCTCTCTCTCTCCTAGAAATAAATAAAAAAAAAACATTAAAAAAATCTTAAAAAAAAAAAAGCAATTAGGAAGAGAAACTGAAAGGCTGACGTTTGCAGAGTAGATCTGTGCTGAGCATTGTTAAAAGCATTGTTTTTATTTCATTGGTCTTTCACTCAGTTTGGGACTGACCAAATTATTTGATGCTCTAATATTTGTGATAGAAAAAAACATGTATTCTGAAGCAAATGGCCTTGGGTCACTTACCTGAAATACTCAACCCAACCACAGTCAAGGCAAGAAGACTCATCCCAGCACAAGCAAGTTTCAGAGCACATTGATGCCAAGGTGGACCTTGACAGATGTCTGAGAAGTTAAGAAAATATACTCAGTTAACTGGTTGAGTTCATCTGTAACAAAAAGCAAAAGTTGTTTGGATCACATATAGACAGATTCAACTTGAGAGCTGGGGGCAAGGTATCCTACAGCAGTGGTTAAGAGAAGAGGCTTAGAGGGGTTCCTGCGTGGCTCAGTCAGTTAAGCTTCCGACTTCGGCACAGGTCATGATCTCACAGTTTGTGGATTCAAGACCCATGTCGAGCTTTGTGCTGACAGCTAGCTGAGAGCCTGGAACTTGCTTCCGATTCTGTATCTCCCTCTCTCTGATCCTTCCCTGCTCACGCTGCCTTTCTCTCTCTCTCTCAGAAATAAAACATTAATTTTTTTTTTTTTAAAAAGAGCAGAGGTTTTCAAATCTAGCACATCTGTATTTGAGCATGTTGCTTTGGGCAAGGTATTCTACCTTCATAAATTACAATTTCCCCACTTATAAAATGTAGACTAATATTTACTCATAAGGGGTTTGAAAAGATTATAGGAAACAATTCTTTGCTGAGAAACAAACTGAGGACTGATGGATATGGGGAGGAGGGGGGAGATGGGCATGGAGGAGGGCACTTGTGGGGATGAGCACTGGCTGTTATATGGAAGCCAATTTGACAATAAACTGTAAAAAGAAAAAAAAGGAAACAATTCTTTTAAAATGCTATGCGTAGTGTCTGGCCCATTGTAATTGTTCAATAAATATTATGTTCTTTTTCTTTAAGTCTTTCTTAAAAACTACAGATCTTCCTCAACTTATTCCTTATAGATATTCTTTGCATCTCAATAAATCCATTGTAAGTGAAAATATAGTAAGTTGAAAATGGTTTTACTATCCCTAACCTATGGGACATGGTAGCTTAGCCTAGCCTACCTTAAAAGGTCTCAGAACAATTACATTAGCCTAAGGTTGGGGTAAATAATTTAGCACAAAGCCTATTTTGTAATAAAGTATTGAATATCTCGTAATTTATTGGACACTGTACTGAACGTGAAAAGCTGAATGGTTGCATGGGAACAGGATGATTATACTGGCTGTTGACCTTCACGATGGTGTGGCTGATGGAGAGCTGCGGTTGCCACTGTCCGACATCACGTAGTAAGACTGTGCAGCTCCTTACTGTCCAGGGAAGAGATTGAATTCAAAATTTTATGGAGCGCTGGGGTGCACCTCAGAGCAGACTGCTTTGGTTCTGTCTTCACTGGTCTTGGGAGTGGAGTCCGCCTTTGGGTTCCATTTGGGTCTGGATTCTGGTTTCTGGTTGCCTGGGCTGCCTGAATTCCAGAATATTCTCTATTGCCTGACTGAAGCCTTCACTGAAGATGTAACCAAACCAATGTGAATTTGCTCCTTGGGCTGCCTCAAGAAACAAGCCAAACTACACATGGTGGAGAGTCCCAAATACCACTACCAGTAGGGAAATAAAATAACCAAACGCTCAACAAGAGAAACCAAGAGACAGCATCCAAAGAACACTTCCTGAACAGATAAGCCCTGAACAGTCAAAAGAGCCCTCTCTAATACAGCAGAACTCACAGGGGCCGTGTGTACAACAACCTTTAAAATTAACAAGAGATAGAAAGCTAACCAAAATGATGAAACTGAAGAACTCTCCTCCAAAGAGACTCCAGGAAGAAATGACAGCTAGAGAGCTGGTCAAAACAGATATAAGGAACGTAACTGAACAAGAATTTAGACCAATAATCATAAAATTAATCGCCGGGCTTGAAAAAAGCATGGAGGACATCAGAGAACCTATGGCTACAAACAATATGGACCTTAAAAATAGTTATGATGAATTAAAAAATGGGATAAATGAGGTAAATAATAAACTGGAGGCGTCCAATGCATGAATATAAGAGGCAGAAAGGGGAATAAGTGATTTAGAAGACACTATTATAGAAAAAGAAGAAACTGAGAAAAAGAGAGACAAACTGATCCAGGAACATGAAAGAGGAGTTTGAGAGCTCAGTGATACAATCAAATGGAACAATATCCGTATCATAGGAATTCCAGAAGAGGAAGAGAGAGGGAAAAGTGCTGAAGGAGTCCTGGAACAATTTATAGCAGAGAACTTCCCCAACCTGGAGAGGGAAGTAGACGTTGAAATTCAAGAGGCCCAGAGAACTCCCCTCAGACGTAACTTGAATCAATCATCTGCACGACATATCATAGTGAAACTGGCAAAATATAAGGACAAAGAGAGAATTCTGAAAGCAGCTAGGGAGAAAAGGCCCTAACATACAAAGGAAACCTATCAGAGTGATGACAGACCTATCTACTGAAACTTAGCAGGCAAGAAAGGAATGGCAGGAGATCTTCAGTGTGATGAACGGAAAAAATATGCAGCGAGGAATCCTCTATCCAGCAAGCCTGTCATTCAGAATAGAAGGAGAGATGAAAGTCTTTCCCAATAAACAAAAATTGAAAGAATTTGTCACCACTAAACCAGCCCTACAAGAAATCCTGAGGGGAATTCTCTGAGGGAAGTGTTGCAAGGAATGCAAGATACCAGAGACACCAACACAAGCATGAGTCCCACAAAGGACACAATGACTCTAAATCCACATATTTCAATAATAACACTGAATGTAAATGGACTGAATGCTCCAACAAAAGACATAGGGTAGCAGAATGGATAAAAAAAAAAAAAACCAAAACCCATCTATTTGCTATCAACAAGAAATGCATTTTAGGCTGGAAGAGACCTTCAGATTAAAAGTAAGGGGATGGGCTCTCTCCTAGAAATAAATAAAACATTAAAAATTTAAAAAAAAATTTAAAAGTAAGGGGATGGAGAAATATATATCATGTTATGGGAAGTCAAAAGAAAGCTGGAGTAGCTATACTTATATCAGACAAATTGGACTTTAAATTAAAGACAATAACAAGGGACGAAGAAGGGCATTATATAATAATTACAGGGTCTATCCATCAGGATGACCTAACAATTACAAATGTCTATGCACCGAATATGGAAGCATCTAAATATTTAAAACAATTAATCACAAAGAGAAACAATCTTATAGATAAGAATGTGCTAATAGCAGGGGACTTTAATATTCCACTTACAGCAATGGATAGATCAACCAGATAGAAAATCACTAAAGAAACAATAGACTTAAATGACACATTGGACCAGACGGATCTGACAGATATGTTCAGAACTCTACATCCTAAGGCCAGGAAATTCACTTTCCTCTCAAGTGCGGCATGGCACATTCTCCAAGATAGATCACATACTGGGACATAAAGCAGCCCTCAATAAATATAAAATAATTGAGATCATACCATGCACACTTTCACATCATAATGCTTTGAAACTTGAAATCAATCACAGGAAGAAGTCTGAAAAACCTCCAAACACATGGAGGTTAAAGAACACCCTACTAAAGAATGAATGGGCCAATCAGGCAATTAGAGAAGAAATTAAAAAATATATGGAAACAAATGAGAATGAAAATACAACAATCCAAACTCTATCGGATGCGGGAAAGGCAGTCCAAAAAGGAAAGTACATTGCACTCCAGACCTATTTCAAGAAATAAGAAAAAGTGCAAGTGCAAAATCTAACAGCTCGCATAAAGGAGCTAGAGGCAGAGCAACAAGAGCACCCCAAACCCAGTAGAAGAAGAGAAATAGTAAAAATCAGAGCAGATATAGACAACATAGAGATCAAAGAAACAATTGAACAGATCCATGAAATCAAAGTTGGTTCTTTGAAAAAGTAAACAAAATTGAGAAACCTCTAGCCAGGCTTCTCAAAAAGAAAAGAGAGAGCACCAAACAGACAAAATCATGAATGAAAATGGACTTATTACAACCAACCCCTCAGAAATACAAGCAATTATCAGGGAATACTATGAAAAATTATATGCCAACAAATTGGACAACTTAGAAGAAATGGACAAATTCCTAAACACACACTCACTACCAAAATTCACATGGAAAGAGACAGGAACTCTGAACAGACCCATAACTAGTGAAGAAATTGAATCAGTGATCAAAAATCTCCCAACAAATAAGAGCCCTGGACCTGATGGCTTCCCTGGGGAATTCTATCAGACGTTTAAAACACAA